TCGAGAGATCCATTTTGTCTGGCGATTACATATCAATGTCATCATTTGAGCAGGCAAAGCGTCTACGGACACGTAAGCCGTTGAAAGTCATGCCCATGGTAACGTCACAGAGTAAATGTCATTTGACAGATCATGTAATCAGAGTGTTATAACTTCAATTTTTACTGTAAAAATTTTCTTTCGCATTCAAAAGAAAAAAAAAGTATGCTGAAACAATGGCTTTTATCAATCTGACCAAAAGAGAGGACTATAACTTGAGGTAATTGCTATGAAAGTTAAAGAATACCGAAAACAGTCCGCAGACAACCCCGGACAAAACCTGTTGAGACAAATGGCGAAAATGCCTATTTTTCCTGTCATCCCGGCAAAAACTGAAACCGCCGCCAAATGAATGCCCGATTTCCCCCCTCCCCTTATCCAAAGTTGTTTAGGATAGCATGGCAATTATACACGTTGGTTTTTAGACCAAGGCAACTTTGAATTGGGGGTGGGGAGGGGGTTTACTTTTTGTGTTTAGGGGAGACGGGAGTAGGGCGCAAAAGTTAGAAAATACATGGAATTGTCTCAACAGTTTTGTCCGGGGATGTCTATGAAGGCCAGTTTTTCAAATCGCTGTAACTTCGCGATGTAAGGTCGGAGGGTATTGATTTTATGCACAAATGTTGTACTTGTCTAAAGCTTTGTGACTACGAAAGAAGGTGTCATAAAAACAATTATATTAGGACGCATTAATTATGCACTTAGAAATTTAGCCATAAATTAGAAACCTTATACCTAAATGAGAAAGAAATCATGCTCTTTACAGAAAAAGTATTGAAATTAATTGTGGTTGGTGGCCACGGTTAAGGAGTTACTGTGTGTCACAAATATGATATCTTAATAGGAGCCTTACCTCCGGCCTTTTTACCAACGTTAATTGTGCTTACATGTCGAATAAATTAGATAAGACTGGGTATCTATTATATTTGCGCAGCACAACTGTCCTGTTCAAAAATAATAGTGCGTGGTGTGCAGGTCATGCACGAGGACTCAAGAATGCGGCGGAGCAGTTAAAAATAACCCTTAGAGGTAGTGATACTTAGTTGCAGTGACAACTTTCTCCATGTAGTTAAAGTAGAACTGGAAAAGTAAGCTTCACCGAGTTAACAATACCCGCGTTTACTGAGTTGGGTTGCAGTTAATTTTTAATTTCAGTTAATTTTTGTTTTTCCTTTGTTTTAAATTCATTAGCATACATTACCATACCCCAAAACAATAGAAAAATAAAAATTAACTGAAATAAAAAAATTAACTACAACATATATACCAGATTATCTACTTGACAAAATAATGGAATCCATGCCGATAAAACCGTTAATTCTTCTATGACAACCAAGGCCAAAAGAACAAATATTAATGAAGAACTTCCAAAATGGGTAGAAATAGGATGTGTAGAGAAAGCAATGCCTCTTTGATCACAAATACAGCGAAAACATGTTGTCACACGGTGGCAGTTCTTTTGTGGCAAAAAACAGCGCACTTCATGACAATTACACCAGTGTCAAAAAGTTTTCCCTTGAGTAAAAAGGTCTTTTTAATGCTTGAAAATCAATAAAAACGTTCTACATACTACGGAAAATGCTTCAAAGCACCGTAAACGCTTGAAATAAACGATTAACAGGCACGCACATGTTTATTCCGACGGTTAACAACGGTTAACAGCGGTTAACAGAATATATTAAAGGAAACTGATAGTCTAACTGTTGTTTTTCTTCAGAAAAGTTGTTAACCGTTGTTAACCGTCGTTAACCGATGTTTCTTTCCTCTGCGGTACTTTATTCGTTAAGTTAACCGTCTGCGAGAAAAACTACTCCGTTTTTGTTGCATAGCAAGCTCATAGAAGCACCTTACACATCAAGGGATTTCCCGTTATTGTTCCCGCGGGATCTGCGTGGAGAAATGAGAGATCCATCATACCACATTCCCGTTCGTACACAATTCCACATTTGCTGTAACTGAGGCAATGTTGTCCTATTAAGTGTAGGATCTTTGCACTACACTTGGCGAACGACGTAATCACTGCTAAGGCAAATTACTCGCGGGATGGCAAAATGAGCCAAATTCGCGTGACTGTAAGTGACCAGATAAGCGCACTAACCTTCCTCTCACCTAGTGATTCATGCGATATTTCCGAGCCTCCTGAAAAGGACTCGTCACTATCGGAAGTTCTCGAGAGATCCATTTTGTCTGGCGATTACATATCAATGTCATCATTTGAGCAGGCAAAGCGTCTACGGACACGTAAGCCGTTGAAAGTCATGCCCATGGTAACGTCACAGAGTAAATGTCATTTGACAGATCATGTAATCAGAGTGTTATAACTTCAATTTTTACTGTAAAAATTTTCTTTCGCATTCAAAAGAAAAAAAAAGTATGCTGAAACAATGGCTTTTATCAATTTGACCAAAAGAGAGGACTATAACTTGAGGTAATTGCTATGAAAGTTAAAGAATACCGAAAACAGTCCGCAGACAACCCCGGACAAAACCTGTTGAGACAAATGGCGAAAATGCCTATTTTTTCCTGTCATCCCGGCAAAAACTGAAACCGCCGCCAAATGAATGCCCGATTTCCCCCCTCCCCTTATCCAAAGTTGTTTAGGATAGCATGGCAATTATACACGTTGGTTTTTAGACCAAGGCAACTTTGAATAGGGGGTGGGGAGGGGGTTTACTTTTTGTGTTTAGGGGAGACGGGAGTAGGGCGCAAAAGTTAGAAAATACATGGAATTGTCTCAACAGTTTTGTCCGGGGTTGTCTGTGAAGGTCAGTTGTTCAAATCGCTGTAACTTCGCGATGTAAGGTCGGAGGGTATTGATTTTATGCACAAATGTTGTACTTGTCTAAAGCTTTGTGACTACGAAAGAAGGTGTCATAAAAACAATTATATTAGGACGCATTAATTATGCACTTAGAAATTTAGCCATTAATTAGAAACCTTATACCTAAATGAGAAAGAAATCATGCTCTTTACAGAAAAAGTATTGAAATTAATTGTGGTTGGTGGCCACGGTTAAGGAGTTACTGTGTGTCACAAATATGATATCTTAATAGGAGCCTTACCTCCGGCCTTTTTACCAACGTTAATTGTGCTTACATGTCGAATAAATTAGATAAGACTGGGTATCTATTATATTTGCGCAGCACAACTGTCCTGTTCAAAAATAATAGTGCGTGGTGTGCAGGTCATGCACGAGGACTCAAGAATGCGGCGGAGCAGTTAAAAATAACCCTTAGAGGTAGTGATACTTAGTTGCAGTGACAACTTTCTCCATGTAGTTAAAGTAGAACTGGAAAAGTAAGCTTCACCGAGTTAACAATACCCGCGTTTACTGAGTTGGGTTGCAGTTAATTTTTAATTTCAGTTAATTTTTGTTTTTCCTTTGTTTTAAATTCATTAGCATACATTACCATACCCCAAAACAATGGAAAAATAAAAATTAACTGAAATAAAAAATTAACTACAACATATATACCAGATTATCTACTTGACAAAATAATGGAATCCATGCCGATAAAACCGTTAATTCTTCTATGACAACCAAGGCCAAAAGAACAAATATTAATGAAGAACTTCCAAAATGGGTAGAAATAGGATGTGTAGGGAAAGCAATGCCTCTTTGATCACAAATACAGCGAAAACATGTTGTCACACGGTGGCAGTTCTTTTGTGGCAAAAAACAGCGCACTTCATGACAATTACACCAGTGTCAAAAAGTTTTCCCTTGAGTAAAAAGGTCTTTTTAATGCTTGAAAATCAACAAAAAGGTTCTATATACTACGGAAAATGCTTGAAAGCACCGTAAACGCTTGAAATAAACGATTAACAGGCACGCACATGTTTATTCCGACGGTTAACAACGGTTAACAGCGGTTAACAGAATATATTAAAGGAAACTGATAGTCTAACTGTTGTTTTTCTTCAGAAAAGTTGTTAACCGTTGTTAACCGTCGTTAACCGATGTTTCTTTCCTCTGCGGTACTTTATTCGTTAAGTTAACCGTCTGCGAGAAAAACTACTCCGTTTTTGTTGCATAGCAAGCTCATCGAAGCACCTTACACATCAAGGGATTTCCCGTTATTGTTCCCGCGGGATCTGCGTGGAGAAATGAGAGATCCATCATACCACATTCCCGTTCGTACACAATTCAACATTTGCTGTAACTGAGGCAATGTTGTCCTATTAAGTGTAGGATCTTTGCACTACACTTGGCGAACGACGTAATCACTGCTAAGGCAAATTACTCGCGGGATGGAAAAATGAGCCAAATTCGCGTGACTGTAAGTGACCAGATAAGCGCACTAACCTTCCTCTCACCTAGTGATTCATGCGATATTTCCGAGCCTCCTGAAAAGGACTCGTCACTATCGGAAGTTCTCGAGAGATCCATTTTGTCTGGCGATTACATATCAATGTCATCATTTGAGCAGGCAAAGCGTCTACGGACACGTAAGCCGTTGCAAGTCATGCCCATGGTAACGTCACAGAGTAAATATCATTTGACATATCATGTAATCAGAGTGTTATAACTTCAATTTTTACTGTAAAAATTTTATTTCGCATTCAAAAGAATAAAAAGTATGCTGAAACAATGGCTTTTATCAATTTGACCAAAAGAGAGGACTATAACTTGAGGTAATTGCTATGAAAGTTAAAGAATACCGAAAACAGTCCGCAGACAACCCCGGACAAAACCTGTTGAGACAAATCGCGAAAATGCCTATTTTTTCCTGTCATCCCGGCAAAAACTGAAACCGCCGCCAAATGAATGCCCGATTTTCCCCCTCCCCTTATCCAAAGTTGTTTAGGATAGCATGGCAATTATACACGTTGGTTTTTAGACCAAGGCAACTTTGAATAGGGGGTGGGGAGGGGGTTTACTTTTTGTGTTTAGGGGAGACGGGAGTAGGGCGCAAAAGTTAGAAAATAGATGGAATTGTCTCAACAGTTTTGTCCGGGGATGTCTGAAGGCCAGTTGTTCAAATCGCTGTAACTTCGCGATGTAAGGTCGGAGGGTATTGATTTTTTGCACAGATGTTGTACTTGTCTAAAGCTTTGTGACCATGAAAGAAGGTGTCATAAAAACAATTAGGACGCATTAATTATACACTTAGAAATTTAGCCATAAATTAGAAACCTTATACCTAAATGAGAAAGAAATCATGCTCTTTACAGAAAAAGTATTGAAATTAATTGTGGTTGGTGGCCACGGTTAAAAAGTTACTGTGTGTCACAAATATGATATCTTAATAGGAGCCTTACCTCCGGCCTTTTTACCAACGTTAATTGTGCTTACATGTCGAATAAATTAGATAAGACTGGGTATCTATTATATTTGCGCAGCACAACTGTCCTGTTCAAAAATAATAGTGCGTGGTGTGCAGGTCATGCACGAGGACTCAAGAATGCGGCGGAGCAGTTAAAAATAACCCTTAGAGGTAGTGATACTTAGTTGCAGTGACAACTTTCTCCATGTAGTTAAAGTAGAACTGGAAAAGTAAGCTTCACCGAGTTAACAATACCCGCGTTTACTGAGTTGGTAATTAGAACAATTTACAACATATATACCAGATTATCTACTTCACAAAATAATGGAATCCATGCCGATAAAACCGTTAATTCTTCTATGACAACCAAGGCCAAAAGAACAAATATTAATGAAGAACTTCCAAAATGGGTAGAAATAGGATGTGTAGGGAAAGCAATGCCTCTTTGATCACAAATACAGCGAAAACATGTTGTCACACGATGGCAGTTCTTTTGTGGCAAAAAACAGCGCACTTCATGACAATTACACCAGTGTCAAAAAGTTTTCCCTTGAGTAAAAAGGTCTTTTTAATGCTTGAAAATCAACAAAAAGGTTCTATATACTACGGAAAATGCTTGAAAGCACCGTAAACGCTTGAAATAAACGATTAACAGGCACGCACATGTTTATTCCGACGGTTAACAACGGTTAACAGCGGTTAACAGAATATATTAAAGGAAACTGATAGTCTAACTGTTGTTTTTCTTCAGAAAAGTTGTTAACCGTTGTTAACCGTCGTTAACCGATGTTTCTTTCCTCTGCGGTACTTTATTCGTTAAGTTAACCGTCTGCGAGAAAAACTACTCCGTTTTTGTTGCATAGCAAGCTCATCGAAGCACCTTACACATCAAGGGATTTCCCGTTATTGTTCCCGAGAGATCTGCGTGGAGAAATGAGAGATCCATCATACCACATTCCCGTTCGTACACAATTCCACATTTGCTGTAACTGAGGCAATGTTGTCCTATTAAGTGTAGGATCTTTGCACTACACTTGGCGAACGACGTAATCACTGCTAAGGCAAATTACTCGCGGGATGGCAAAATGAGCCAAATTCGCGTGACTGTAAGTGACCAGATAAGCGCACTAACCTTCCTCTCACCTAGTGATTCATGCGATATTTCCGAGCCTCCTGAAAAGGACTCGTCACTATCGGAAGTTCTCGAGAGATCCATTTTGTCTGGCGATTACATATCAATGTCATCATTTGAGCAGGCAAAGCGTCTACGGACACGTAAGCCGTTGAAAGTCATGCCCATGGTAACGTCACAGAGTAAATGTCATTTGACAGATCATGTAATCAGAGTGTTATAACTTCAATTTTTACTGTAAAAATTTTATTTCGCATTCAAAAGAAAAAAAAAGTATGCTGAAACAATGGCTTTTATCAATTTGACCAAAAGAGAGGACTATAACTTGAGGTAATTGCTATGAAAGTTAAAGAATACCGAAAACAGTCCGCAGACAACCCCGGACAAAACCTGTTGAGACAAATCGCGAAAATGCCTATTTTTTCCTGTCATCCCGGCAAAAACTGAAACCGCCGCCAAATGAATGCCCGATTTCCCCCCTCCCCTTATCCAAAGTTGTTTAGGATAGCATGGCAATTATACACGTTGGTTTTTAGACCAAGGCAACTTTGAATAGGGGGTGGGGAGGGGGTTTACTTTTTGTGTTTAGGGGAGACGGGAGTAGGGCGCAAAAGTTAGAAAATAGATGGAATTGTCTCAACAGTTTTGTCCGGGGATGTCTGTGAAGGCCAGTTGTTCAAATCGCTGTAACTTCGCGATGTAAGGTCGGAGGGTATTGATTTTTTGCACAGATGTTGTACTTGTCTAAAGCTTTGTGACTACGAAAGAAGGTGTGATAAAAACAATTAGGACGCATTAATTATGCACTTAGAAATTTAGCCATAAATTAGAAACCTTATACCTAAATGACAAAGAAATCATGCTCTTTACAGAAAAAGTATTGAAATTAATTGTGGTTGGTGGCCACGGTTAAGGAGTTACTGTGTGTCACAAATATGATATCTTAATAGGAGCCTTACCTCCGGCCTTTTTACCAACGTTAATTGTGCTTACATGTCGAATAAATTAGATAAGACTGGGTATCTATTATATTTGCGCAGCACAACTGTCCTGTTCAAAAATAATAGTGCGTGGTGTGCAGGTCATGCACGAGGACTCAAGAATGCGGCGGAGCAGTTAAAAATAACTCTTAGAGGTAGTGATACTTAGTTGCAGTGACAACTTTCTCCATGTAGTTAAAGTAGAACTGGAAAAGTAAGCTTCACCGAGTTAACAATACCCGCGTTTACTGATCTGGTAATTAGAACAATTTACAACATATATACCAGATTATCTACTTGACAAAATAATGGAATCCATGCCGATAAAACCGTTAATTCTTCTATGACAACCAAGGCCAAAAGAACAAATATTAATGAAGAACTTCCAAAATGGGTAGAAACAGGATGTGTAGGGAAAGCAATGCCTCTTTGATCACAAATACAGCGAAAACATGTTGTCACACGATGGCAGTTCTTTTGTGGCAAAAAACAGCGCACTTCATGACAATTACACCAGTGTCAAAAAGTTTTCCCTTGAGTAAAAAGGTCTTTTTAATGCTTGAAAATCAACAAAAAGGTTCTATATGCTACGGAAAATGCTTGAAAGCACCGTAAACGTTTGAAATAAACGATTAACAGGCACGCACATGTTTATTCCGACGGTTAACAACGGTTAACAGCGGTTAACAGAATATATTAAAGGAAACTGATACTCTAACTGTTGTTTTTCTTCAGAAAAGTTGTTAACCGTTGTTAACCGTCGTTAACCGATGTTTCTTTCCTCTGCGGTACTTTATTCGTTAAGTTAACCGTCTGCGAGAAAAACTACTCCGTTTTTGTTGCATAGCAAGCTCATCGAAGCACCTTACACATCAAGGGATTTCCCGTTATTGTTCCCGAGAGATCTGCGTGGAGAAATGAGAGATCCATCATACCACATTCCCGTTCGTACACAATTCCACATTTGCTGTAACTGAGGCAATGTTGTCCTATTAAGTGTAGGATCTTTGCACTACACTTGGCGAACGACGTAATCACTGCTAAGGCAAATTACTCGCGGGATGGCAAAATGAGCCAAATTCGCGTGACTGTAAGTGACCAGATAAGCGCACTAACCTTCCTCTCACCTAGTGATTCATGCGATATTTCCGAGCCTCCTGAAAAGGACTCGTCACTATCGGAAGTTCTCGAGAGATCCATTTTGTCTGGCGATTACATATCAATGTCATCATTTGAGCAGGCAAAGCGTCTACGGACACGTAAGCCGTTGAAAGTCATGCCCATGGTAACGTCACAGAGTAAATGTCATTTGACAGATCATGTAATCAGAGTGTTATAACTTCAATTTTTACTGTAAAAATTTTATTTCGCATTCAAAAAAAAAAAAAGTATGCTGAAACAATGGCTTTTATCAATTTGACCAAAAGAGAGGACTATAACTTGAGGTAGTTGCTATGAGAGTTAAAGAATACCGAAAACAGTCCGCAGACAACCCCGGACAAAACCTGTTGAGACAAATGGCGAAAATGCCTATTTTTTCCTGTCATCCCGGCAAAAACTGAAACCGCCGCCAAATGAATGCCCGATTTCCCCCCTCCCCTTATCCAAAGTTGTTTAGGATAGCATGGCAATTATACACGTTGGTTTTTAGACCAAGGCAACATTGATTAGGGGGTGGGGAGGGGGTTTACTTTTTGTGTTTAGGGGAGACGGGAGTAGGGCGCAAAAGTTAGAAAATACATGGAATTGTCTCAACAGTTTTGTCCGGGGATGTCTGTGAAGGCCAGTTGTTCAAATCGCTGTAAGTTCGCGATGTAAGGTCGGAGGGTATTGATTTTTTGCACGGATGTTGTACTTGTCTAAAGCTTTGTGACCACGAAAGAAGGTGTCATAAAAACAATTAGGACGCATTAATTATGCACTTAGAAATTTAGTCATAAATTAGAAACCTTATAGCTACATGAGAAAGAAATCATGCTCTTTACAGAAAAAGTATTGAAATTAATTGTGGTTGGTGGCCACGGTTAAAAAGTTACTGTGTGTCACAAATATGATATCTTAATAGGAGGCTTACCTCCGGCCTTTTTACCAACGTTAATTGTGCTTACATGTCGAATAAATTAGATAAGACTGGGTATCTATTATATTTGCGCAGCACAACTGTCCTGTTCAAAAATAATAGTGCGTGGTGTGCAGGTCATGCACGAGGACTCAAGAATGCGGCGGAGCAGTTAAAAATAACCCTTAGAGGTAGTGATACTTAGTTGCAGTGACAACTTTCTCCATGTAGTTAAAGTAGAACTGGAAAAGTAAGCTTCACCGAGTTAACAATACCCGCGTTTACTGAGTTGGTAATTAGAACAATTTACAACATATATACCAGATTATCTACTTGACAAAATAATGGAATCCATGCCGATAAAACCGTTAATTCTTCTATGACAACCTAGGCCAAAAGAACAAATATTAATGAAGAACTTCCAAAATGGGTAGAAATAGGATGTGTAGGGAAAGCAATGCCTCTTTGATCACAAATACAGCGAAAACATGTTGTCACACGATGGCAGTTCTTTTGTGGCAAAAAACAGCGCACTTCATGACAATTACACCAGTGTCAAAAAGTTTTCCCTTGAGTAAAAAGGTCTTTTTAAAGCTTGAAAATCAACAAAAAGGTTCTATATGCTACGGAAAATGCTTAAAAACACCGTAAACGCTTGAAATAAACGATTAACAGGCACGCACATGTTTATTCCGACGGTTAACAACGGTTAACAGCGGTTAACAGAATATATTAAAGGAAACTGATAGTCTAACTGTTGTTTTTCTTCAGAAAAGTTGTTAACCGTTGTTAACCGTCGTTAACCGATGTTTCTTTCCTCTGCGGTACTTTATTCGTTAAGTTAACCGTCTGCGAGAAAAACTACTCCGTTTTTGTTGCATAGCAAGCTCATCGAAGCACCTTACACATCAAGGGATTTCCCGTTATTTTTCCCGAGAGATCTGCGTGGAGAAATGAGAGATCCATCATACCACATTCCCGTTCGTACACAATTCCACATTTGCTGTAACTGAGGCAATGTTGTCCTATTAAGTGTAGGATCTTTGGACTACACTTGGCGAACGACGTAATCACTGCTAAGGCAAATTACTCGCGGGATGGCAAAATGAGCCAAATTCGCGTGACTGTAAGTGACCAGATAAGCGCACTAACCTTCCTCTCACCTAGTGATTCATGCGATATTTCCGAGCCTCCTGAAAAGGACTCGTCACTATCGGAAGTTCTCGAGAGATCCATTTTGTCTGGCGATTACATATCAATGTCATCATTTGAGCAGGCAAAGCGTCTACGGACACGTAAGCCGCTGAAAGTCATGCCCATGGTAACGTCACAGAGTAAATGTCATTTGACAGATCATGTAATCAGAGTGTTATAACTTCAATTTTTACTGTAAAAATTTTATTTCGCATTCAAAAGAAAAAAAAAGTATGCTGAAACAATGGCTTTTATCAATTTGACCAAAAGAGAGGACTATAACTTGAGGTTATTGCTATGAAAGTTAAAGAATACCGAAAACAGTCCGCAGACAACCCCGGACAAAACCTGTTGAGACAAATGGCGAAAATGCCTATTTTTTCCTGTCATCCCGACAAAAACTGAAACCGCCGCCAAATGAATGCCCGATTTCCCCCCTCCCCTTATCCAAAGTTGTTTAGGATAGCATGGCAATTATACACGTTGGTTTTTAGACCAAGGCAACTTTGAATAGGGGGTGGGGAGGGGGTTTACTTTTTGTGTTTAGGGGAGACGGGAGTAGGGCGCAAAAGTTAGAAAATAGATGGAATTGTCTCAACAGTTTTGTCCGGGGATGTCTGTGAAGGCCAGTTGTTCAAATCGCTGTAACTTCGCGATGTAAGGTCGGAGGGTATTGATTTTTTGCACAGATGTTGTAGTTGTCTAAAGCTTTGTGACCACGAAAGAAGGTGTCATAAAAACAATTAGGACGCATTAATTATGCACTTAGAAATTTAGCTATAAATTAGAAACCTTGTACCCAAATGAGAAAGAAATCATGCTCTTTACAGAAAAAGTATTAAAATGGATTGTGGTTGGTGGCCACGGTTAAGGAGTTACTGTGTGTCACAAATATGATATCTTAATAGGAGCCTTACCTCCGGCCTTTTTACCAACGTTAATTGTGCTTACATGTCGAATAAATTAGATAAGACTGGGTATCTATTATATTTGCGCAGCACAACTGTCCTGTTCAAAAATAATAGTGCGTGGTGTGCAGGTCATGCACGAGGACTCAAGAATGCGGCGGAGCAGTTAAAAATAACCCTTAGAGGTAGTGATACTTAGTTGCAGTGACAACTTTCTCCATGTAGTTAAAGTAGAACTGGAAAAGTAAGCTTCACCGAGTTAACAATACCCGCGTTTACTGAGTTGGTAATTAGAACAATTTACAACATATATACCAGATTATCTACTTGACAAAATAATGGAATCCATGCCGATAAAACCGTTAATTCTTCTATGACAACCAAGGCCAAAAGAACAAATATTAATGAAGAACTTCCAAAATGGGTAGAAATAGGATGTGTAGGGAAAGCAATGACTCTTTGATCACAAATACAGCGAAAACATGTTGTCACACGATGGCAGTTCTTTTGTGGCAAAAAACAGCGCACTTCATGACAATTACACCAGTGTCAAAAAGTTTTCCCTTAAGTAAAAAGCTCTTTTTAATGCTTGAAAATCAACAAAAAGGTTCTATATACTACGGAAAATGCTTGAAGGCACCGTAAACGCTTGAAATAAACGATTAACAGGCACGCACATGTTTATTCCGACGGTTAACAACGGTTAACAGCGGTTAACAGAATATATTAAAGGAGACTGATAGTCTAACTGTTGTTTTTCTTCAGAAAAGTTGTTAACCGTTGTTAACCGATGTTTCTTTCCTCTGCGGTACTTTATTCGTTAAGTTAACCGTCTGCGAGAAAAACTACTCCGTTTTTGTTGCATAGCAAGCTCATCGAAGCACCTTACACATCAATCAAGGGATTTCCCGTTATTGTTCCCGAGAGATCTGCGTGGAGAAATGAGAGATCCATCATACCACATTCCCGTTCGTACACAATTCCACATTTGCTGTAACTGAGGAAATGTTGTCCTATTAAGTGTAGGATCTTTGCACTACACTTGGCGAACGACGTAATCACTGCTAAGGCAAATTACTCGCGGGATGGCAAAATGAGCCAAATTTGCGTGACTGTAAGTGACTAGATAAGCGCACTAACCTTCCTCTCACCTAGTGATTCATGCGATATTTCCGAGCCTCCTGAAAAGGACTCGTCACTATCGGAAGTTCTCGAGAGATCCATTTTGTCTGGCGATTACATATCAATGTCATCATTTGAGCAGGCAAAGCGTCTACGGACACGTAAGCCGCTGAAAGTCATGCCCATGGTAACGTCACAGAGTAAATGTCATTTGACAGATCATGTAATCAGAGTGTTATAACTTCAATTTTTACTGTAAAAATTTTATTTCGCATTCAAAAGAAAAAAAAAGTATGCTGAAACAATGGCTTTTATCAATTTGACCAAAAGAGAGGACTATAACTTGAGGTTATTGCTATGAAAGTTAAAGAATACCGAAAACAGTCCGCAGACAACCCCGGACAAAACCTGTTGAGACAAATGGCGAAAATGCCTATTTTTTCCTGTCATCCCGGCAAAAACTGAAACCGCCGCCAAATGAATGCCCGATTTCCCCCCTCCCCTTATCCAAAGTTGTTTAGGATAGCATGGCAATTATACACGTTGGTTTTTAGACCAAGGCAACTTTGAATAGGGGGTGGGGAGGGGGTTTACTTTTTGTGTTTAGGGGAGACGGGAGTAGGGCGCAAAAGTTAGAAAATAGATGGAATTGTCTCAACAGTTTTGTCCGGGGTTGTCTGTGAAGGCCAGTTGTTCAAATCGCTGTAACTTCGCGATGTAAGGTCGGAGGGTATTGATTTTTTGCACAGATGTTATACTTGTCTAAAGCTTTGTGACTACGAAAGAAGGTGTCATAAAAACAATTAGGACGCATTAATTATGCACTTAGAAATTTAGCCATAAATTAGAAACCTTATACCTAAATGAGAAAGAAATCATGCTCTTTACAGAAAAAGTATTGAAATTAATTGTGGTTGGTGGCCACGGTTAAGGAGTTACTGTGTGTCACAAATATGATATCTTAATAGGAACCTTACCTCCGGCCTTTTTACCAAAGTTAATTGTGCTTACATGTCGAATAAATTAGATAAGACTGGGTATCTATTATATTTGCGCAGCACAACTGTCCTGTTCAAAAATAATAGTGCGTGGTGTGCAGGTCATGCACGAGGACTCAAGAATGCGGCGGAGCAGTTAAAAATAACCCTTAGAGGTAGTGATACTTAGTTGCAGTGACAACTTTCTCCATGTAGTTAAAGTAGAACTGGAAAAGTAAGCTTCACCGAGTTAACAATACCCGCGTTTACTGAGTTGGTAATTAGAACAATTTACAACATATATACCAGATTATCTACTTGACAAAATAATAGAATCCATGCCGATAAAACCGTTAATTCTTCTATGACAACCAAGGCCAAAAGAACAAATATTAATGAAGAACTTCCAAAATGGGTAGAAATAGGATGTGTAGGAAAAGCAATGCCTCTTTGATCACAAATACAGCGAAAATATGTTGTCACACGATGGCAGTTCTTTTGTGGCAAAAAACAGCGCACTTCATGACAATTACACCAGTGTCAAAAAGTTTTCCCTTAAGTAAAAAGGTCTTTTTAATGCTTGAAAATCAACAAAAAGGTTCTATATACTACGGAAAATGCTTGAAAGCACCGTAAACGCTTGAAATAAACGATTAACAGGCACGCACATGTTTATTCCGACGGTTAACAACGGTTAACAGCGGTTAACAAAATATATTAAAGGAAACTGATAGTCTAACTGTTGTTTTTCTTCAGAAAAGTTTTTAACCGTTATTAACCGTCGTTAACCGATGTTTCTTTCCTCTGCGGTACTTTATTCGTTAAGTTAACCGTCTGCGAGAAAAACTACTCCGTTTTTGTTGCATAGCAAGCTCATCGAAGCACCTTACACATCAAGGGATTTCCCGTTATTGTTCCCGCGGGATCTGCGTGGAGAAATGAGAGATCCATCATACCACATTCCCGTTCGTACACAATTCCACATTTGCTGTAACTGAGGCAATGTTGTCCTACTAAGTGTAGGATCTTTGCACTACACTTGCCGAACGACGTAATCACTGCTAAGGCAAATTACTCGCGGAATGGCAAAATGAGCCAAATTCGCGTGACTGTAAGTGACCAGATAAGCGCACTAACCTTCCTCTCACCTAGTGATTCATGCGATATTTCCGAGCCTCCTGAAAAGGACTCGTCACTATCGGAAGTTCTCGAGAGATCCATTTTGTCTGGCGATTACATATCAATGTCATCATTTGAGCAGGCAAAGCGTCTACGGACACGTAAGCCGTTGAAAGTCATGCCCATGGTAACGTCACAGAGTAAATGTCATTTGACAGATCATGTAATCAGAGTGTTATAACTTCAATTTTTAGTGTAAAAATATTATTTCGCATTCAAAAGAAAAAAAAAGTATGCTGAAACAATGGCTTTTATCAATTTGACCAAAAGAGAGGACTATAACTTGAGGTAATTGCTATGAAAGTTAAAGAATACCGAAAACAGTCCGCAGACAACCCCGGACAAAACCTGTTGAGACAAATGGCTAAAATGCCTATTTTTTCCTGTCATCCCGGCAAAAACTGAAACCGCCGCCAAATGAATGCCCGATTTCCCCCCTCCCCTTATCCAAAGTTGCTTAGGATAGCATGGCAATTATACACGTTGGTTTTTAGACCAAGGCAACTTCGAGTAGGGGGTGGGGAGGGGGTTTACTTTTTGTGTTTAGGGGAGACGGGAGTAGGGCGCAAAAGTTAGAAAATACATGGAATTGTCTCAACAGTTTTGTCCGGGGTTGTCTGTGAAGGCCAGTTGTTCAAATCGCTGTAACTTCGCGATGTAAGGTCGGAGGGTATTGATTTTTTGCACAGATGTTGTACTTGTCTAAAGCTTTGTGACTACGAAAGAAGGTGTCATAAAAACAATTAGGACGCATTAATTATGCACTTAGAAATTTAGCCATAAATTAGAAACCTTATACCTAAATGAGAAAGAAATCATGCTCTTTACAGAAAAAGTATTGAAATTAATTGTGGTTGGTGGCCACGGTTAAGGAGTTACTGTGTGTCACAAATATGATATCTTAATAGGAGCCTTACCTCCGGCCTTTTTACCAACGTTAATTGTGCTTACATGTCGAATAAATTAGATAAGACTGGGTATCTATTATATTTGCGCAGCACAACTGTCCTGTTCAAAAATAATAGTGCGTGGTTCAGGTCATGCACGAGGACTCAAGAATGCGGCGGAGCAGTTAAAAATAACCCTTAGAGGTAGTGATACTTAGTTTCAGTGACAACTTTCTCCATGTAGTTAAAGTAGAACTGGAAAAGTAAGCTTCACCGAGTTAACAATACCCGCGTTTACTGAGTTGGTACGTTAGAACAATTTACAACATATATACCAGATTATCTACTTGACAAAATAATGGAATCCATGCCGATAAAACCGTTAATTCTTCTATGACAACCAAGGCCAAAAGAACAAATATTAATGAAGAACTTCCAAAATGGGTAGAAATAGGATGTGTAGGGAAAGCAATGCCTCTTTGATCACAAATACAGCGAAAACATGTTGTCACACGATGGCAGTTCTTTTGTGGCAAAAAACAGCGCACTTCATGACAATTACACCAGTGTCAAAAAGTTTTCCCTTGAGTAAAAAGGTCTTTTTAATGCTTGAAAATCAACAAAAAGGTTCTATATACTACGGAAAATCCTTGAAAGCACCGTAAACGGTTGAAATAAACGATTAACAGGCACGCACATGTTTATTCCGACGGTTGACAACGGTTAACAGCAGTTAACAGAATATATTAAAGGAGACTGATAGTCTAACTGTTGTTTTTCTTCAGAAAAGTTGTTAACCGTTGTTAACCGTCGTTAACCGATGTTTCTTTCCTCTGCGGTACTTTATTCGTTAAGTTAACCGTCTGCGAGAAAAACTACTCCGTTTTTGTTGCATAGCAAGCTCATCGAAGCACCTTACACATCAAGGGATTTCCCGTTATTGTTCCCGCGGGATCTGCGTGGAGAAATGAGAGATCCATCATACCACATTCCCGTTCGTACACAATTCCACATTTGCTGTAACTGAGGCAATGTTGTCCTATTAAGTGTAGGATCTTTGCACTACACTTGGCGAACGACGTAATCACTGCTAAGGCAAATTACTCGCAGAATGGCAAAATGAGCCAAATTCGCGTGACTGTAAGTGACCAGATAAGCGCACTAACCTTCCTCTCACCTAGTGATTCATGGGATATTTCCGAGCCTCCTAAAAAGGACTCGTCACTATCGGAAGTTCTCGAGAGATCCATTTTGTCTGGCGATTACATATCAATGTCATCATTTGAGCAGGCAAAGCGTCTACGGACACGTAAGCCGTTGAAAGTCATGCCCATGGTAACGTCACAGAGTAAATGTCATTTGACAGATCATGTAATCAGAGTGTTATAACTTCAATTTTTAGTGTAAAAATATTATTTCGCATTCAAAAGAAAAAAAAAGTATGCTGAAACAATGGCTTTTATCAATTTGACCAAAAGAGAGGACTATAACTTGAGGTAATTGCTATGAAAGTTAAAGAATACCGAAAACAGTCCGCAGACAACCCCGGACAAAACCTGTTGAGACAAATGGCTAAAATGCCTATTTTTTCCTGTCATCCCGGCAAAAACTGAAACCGCCGCCAAATGAATGCCCGATTTCCCCCCTCCCCTTATCCAAAGTTGCTTAGGATAGCATGGCAATTATACACGTTGGTTTTTAGACCAAGGCAACTTCGAGTAGGGGGTGGGGAGGGGGTTTACTTTTTGTGTTTAGGGGAGACGGGAGTAGGGCGCAAAAGTTAGAAAATACATGGAATTGTCTCAACAGTTTTGTCCGGGGTTGTCTGTGAAGGCCAGTTGTTCAAATCGCTGTAACTTCGCGATGTAAGGTCGGAGGGTATTGATTTTTTGCACAGATGTTGTACTTGTCTAAAGCTTTGTGACTACGAAAGAAGGTGTCATAAAAACAATTAGGACGCATTAATTATGCACTTAGAAATTTAGCCATTAATTAGAAACCTTATACCTAAATGAGAAAGAAATCATGCTCTTTACAGAAATAGTATTGAAATTAATTGTGGTTGGTGGCCACGGTTAAGGAGTTACTGTGTGTCACAAATATGATATCTTAATAGGAGCCTTACCTCCGGCCTTTTTACCAACGTTAATTGTGCTTACATGTCGAATAAATTAGATAAGACTGGGTATCTATTATATTTGCGCAGCACAACTGTCCTGTTCAAAAATAATAGTGCGTGGTGTGCAGGTCATGCAGTCATGCACGAGGACTCAAGAATGCGGCGGAGCAGTTAAAAATAACCCTTAGAGGTAGTGATACTTAGTTGCAGTGACAACTTTCTTCATGTAGTTAAAGTAGAACTGGAAAAGTAAGCTTCACCGAGTTAACAATACCCGCGTTTACTGAGTTGGTAATTAGAACAATTTACAACATATATACCAGATTATCTACTTGACAAAATAATGGAATCCATGCCGATAAAACCGTTAATTCTTCTATGACAACCAAGGCCAAAAGAACAAATATTAATGAAGAACTTCCAAAATGGGTAGAAATAGGATGTGTAGGGAAAGCAATGCCTCTTTGATCACAAATACAGCGAAAACATGTTGTCACACGATGGCAGTTCTTTTGTGGCAAAAAACAGCGCACTTCATGACAATTACACCAGTGTCAAAAAGTTTTCCCTTGAGTAAAAAGGTCTTTTTAATGCTTGAAAATCAACAAAAAGGTTCTATATACTACGGAAAATGCTTGAAAGCACCGTAAACGCTTGAAATAAACGATTAACAGGCACGCACATGTTTATTCCGACGGTTAACAACGGTTAACAGCGGTTAACAGAATATATTAAAGGAAACTGATAGTCTAACTGTTGTTTTTCTTCAGAAAAGTTGTTAACCGTTGTTAACCGTCGTTAACCGATGTTTCTTTCCTCTGCGGTACTTTATTCGTTAAGTTAACCGTCTGCGAGAAAAACTACTCCGTTTTTGTTGCATAGCAAGCTCATCGAAGCACCTTACACATCAAGGGATTTCCCGTTATTGTTCCCGCGGGATCTGCGTGGAGAAATGAGAGATCCATCATACCACATTCCCGTTCGTACACAATTCCACATTTGCTGTAACTGAGGCAATGTTGTCCTATTAAGTGTAGGATCTTTGCACTACACTTGGCGAACGACGTAATCACTGCTAAGGCAAATTACTCGCGGAATGGCAAAATGAGCCAAATTCGCGTGACTGTAAGTGACCAGATAAGCGCAGTAACCTTCCTCTCACCTAGTGATTCATGCGATATTTCCGAGCCTCCTAAAAAGGACTCGTCACTATCGGAAGTTCTCGAGAGATCCATTTTGTCTGGCGATTACATATCAATGTCATCATTTGAGCAGGCAAAGCGTCTACGGACACGTAAGCCGTTGAAAGTCATGCCCATGGTAACGTCACAGAGTAAATGTCATTTGACAGATCATGTAATCAGAGTGTTATAACTTTAATTTTTACTGTAAAAATTTTATTTCGCATTCAAAAGAAAAAAAAAGTATGCTGAAACAATGGCTTTTATCAATTTGACCAAAAGAGAGGACTATAACTTGAGGTAATTGCTATGAAAGTTAAAGAATACCGAAAACAGTCCGCAGACAACCCCGGACAAAACCTGTTGAGACAAATCGCGAAAATGCCTATTTTTTCCTGTCATCCCGGCAAAAACTGAAACCGCCGCCAAATGAATGCCCGATTTCCCCCCTCCCCTTATCCAAAGTTGCTTAGGATAGCATGGCAATTATACACGTTGGTTTTTAGACCAAGGCAACTTTGAATAGGGGGTGGGGAGGGGGTTTACTTTTTGTGTTTAGGGGAGACGGGAGTAGGGCGCAAAAGTTAGAAAATAGATGGAATTGTCTCAACAGTTTTGTCCGGGGTTGTAGTTCCCTTCAAGTAGAAGACTTTAGCGACTCAGTTGCAGACCAATTCCTGTGAAAAAGTAAGGACGAATTTTGAATATAGGCAGCACATCCCGTGGAAGAAGCTTCGGAGAAGACAATCTTGGAAGGAACGAATGGGGTAGACCAAAATGAAGCACCATTTAAATTTCTCAAATTGTCTCTCTAAAACAAAAGCGCTTTCTTGGCTTGGTCCTGAAGAAACACAATCGAATGCCACGAATCTCGTGAATTGACAATAAGATGTAAATATCGAGTCATAATTTGAGTAACATTACCGAACAAGCAGATAAAGAAATAATCTTGCCAA